ACCAGGATGAACAATCAACACGCATAACACAACAATCACACGAGAAACAGTCAATACGTCAAACTGACGGTAATCAAAATTGTGTGTCGATCTCCTGCACAGAAACCGTCAACAAACACATCCAATAACACGAAATCATCCATATCAACAAGAATCAATCATCAAATCATCACACAAANGCATTGGGATCCATTCATTTACCAAGATAAGCCATGGTCAGGCACTCATCTTAGGAAAAAGGTTATAACACGCGTTTCAAAATTTAGATTAAACCATACTCAATGGCTCTGGAAAGCTAAGACTCGGGGCTTTCCAATGATACCTAGATCGTCTTCTGAGTCCTTACAAAACGACAGGAAAATAGCCCGCAAGTTCGTTGTTCGGAACTGGAAACAGGAAATTCCAGTCTCAGAAAACATGAACGACACGTTGATATCTAAAGAACACAGAGAACGGAGATTACATCAGAAACAAGATCGGAAACCTGTTNTGAAAACTAGATAGAGAGAGCTTTCCATAGATAGGTAGATCGTCTCCTAAATCCTTATGGTTCAACGGAAATCCTCCCTCGAAATGGACTGATTGCAGACCTAAAACTGCAGAAACATCTCTTAGTAAAACGATGATAACTCTCGGAATACTAATCCACATGACAAACCAATTTCGCCCAAATCTAGATACGAGAGTGGAGAACCTACCCTAGAAGTTTCGATCCAATCCGATCCGATCTTCCTAGCCGTTCGTCTCCCCTTCTAAAATCGGACAGTACTGTTTTTCTCTCAAGAAAGTCACTTCTCTCACAATTCTCTCCAACTCTTCTGATTTTCAGCCAAAAGGGCCACAAAACGCGATCTCCACGCTTATATAATGGAGCCCTAGGGTTCCCTAAACCGAACCAAACCGAGCGATCAAAAACCGAACCAGACGGTTCAATTTCAACTTGTGTCGTTCGATGCACAACACTTGTGTCGATCGACGCAACACCCAGAACCCGACTCCTCGCGAGTCCAAACACGTGTGTCGATCGACACACTGTATCGTTCGATGCACCACCAAAAATACACATTTTGGTTCACGGACGTTACA